TCTTTGGACTTCTAAAAAGTATTTGGTTCTCTTAAACTTATACAAATCCTACTTTGTCAGCTTGTGTCAATTTTCCTCCATTATATTTAAGAGGACCTGCTAGGCATAATGACGCATGTCTGAAAATGGAGCACTCAGGACACTGAGGCAGGAGGATTTCAGAGAGGCCAGCCTGAATTATATAGTGAGAGCCTGTCACAAACACTTCAGACTCTTGAAGTAGGAGTCTCATCCAATTCTTGAGTTACATGGGACGGTGGGTGAGTTCAGTGGTGAATTTTCTTCTATTTCAGCATAAACGTATGTTTTGTAACATTAAACATTTGTCTACTATGTGGACAAAAAAAATATTTGGTTTTTATGTGTATTGTCTGTATGTGTGTAAGTGCACCCATGTCATGCAATGCCCTCAGAGGTAAGAAGAGGGCGTTGCATCCTCTGGAACTGGAGTTACAGATGGCTGTTATCCAACACGCGGGTGATGGGAATTGAATCGAGGTCCTCTGCAAGAGCAGGCAGTGCTCTTAATCGCTAATTCACCTCTTCAGTCCCATGATTTTTTTAAACGGAACTTTTTTCTTTCAGAAGAAAAAGTTAAGCTACTCAACCTGATCCAGGTTACCTATGAAATCACAAAGCTCAAGGAGAGGCACAAGCAGGTTCTCTCAGAATGCAGGATAAGTCTGTGTCACACATGAATTCTCACTGATATCATGAAAACAAAGGAAAATTTGTCCCAAGCCTTTATGCTACACGAAACAAATTACAATTTTCCCATAAATCTCTGCATCTGCTTCCTATCTGATGGTTAATCCTTCTTTTCAGGTTATCTTCAATAGTGCATATAAATGATTCATTTTTATGCCTAACTAAGAGGTTGAGAGACACTGAAGTGTGTAACTGCTAGCTGCAAATACAAGGACTCTATTACGAATGTGCAAAAGGCTAATTACTTTCCTTTTACAAGGGCAGAAAAGGCTTTATTACATGTGCACATGTACACAGACACAGACACCTATAGACACTACCTTGCTTTTACAACTTCACCCACCAATCAAAAAAATAGAGAACATGAATTTGATTAGGAGACACAAAATTACAGTGAGCTGCTTTCTTCCCAGGAAGCACAAAAACATTTTTTTTTTTAACCAATTTTTAAAGTTCATGGTACTTCTTAAATAAGACAAGTATGGATGATTTCCTCACTTGTAGAAGAGATTGATGTAGACTAAAAACATAAATAGCAACTTAATTCTGCAGGTGAGACCAGTTGATGACTGATCAGATTTTCAGAGTCCTCAGGACAGGCAGACAAGCAAGACAGAGAGTGGTGGATTGACACCATTAATCACACAAATCCCCTTCTTAATACTGCTTCTACCAAACAAGAAATGAAGCAACTTCACACTAATCAAAGACCCAGAGAGACCTAGGGCCTGAGGGGTAGGAAACAGAATCAGAAAGAGAGCATGGCTCATCACTGGAGGCCAGGAGAGTATCTGTCAAAGGAAAACTCCAGACAAAGGCATTTAGGAAGTGTTTACTTGTAAAGAAGGTAGCGAAGGGATCTTCAGGTTTTAGAAGGGCCGACTCACAAAACAAAAATGACACTAGTTATTTGAAAGAAAAAAAGGAAAATACCTTTTGTATCATTGCCGTGTGATTACTGACTAACCTAGGAAACAAGGGATCAATTTTCTCATATAATCAGTTGCCTCACATCTTCAATTACTGTGAAAACCTGCATTTTCCTTGTTTGCTCTCATCTGTGGAATGTGTACATGAAGGTAAGGAGAAAGACTTGGATTTGTTGCCCTAGCTCACCTACTTAAGGCAGAGTTAGAGATTTCAAGTCATTCTCTGTACTGGGGAAACCACAGACTTGTCAGGTCTTTGCTCAGAGAAAACACACCCAGACATCCAGAGTCAAAGTCTTCAGTCCCTACTTTGGGTGACTAAGCTTGGGTCAACAGCTCTCAACTAGAGGAAATTTGGCCCCCAAAGTCAGCAATGTCTGGAGAAGAGTGTTACAGGTACCATCCTATGGCCTGGCCCCAGGGATGCTGTCAGGACAGGTCCCACAAGAACTATATGACCCAAAAATCTCAAGCCAGTGTTGAGAAGCCAGGCCACCTGGGTTCAGTTGTTTTAGTACTTCCCAGTTATAAACTGGGGCAGTCAGAAACAGTATCTATACCTCATAAAGCTGCTGGACCATCAACTACTATGTAACTATTCATTCTGGTAACAGGCACTGAGAATGCAAGTCATTTCTCTAGTTTGTTATCAACTGAACCTTCTTCGCTTTTATCTTAAATTTTCTGTCATCTTTCCATTGTAGGTGTAGATGCTTCAACACAAGAATCTTGGTAAATTTTTGGTACAACTTCTCACCCCTTCCTATTAGCCATTTCTTTGGATCAACTGTGCTAAAGAGCTGTTAAGAGCCACTTGGCTGTTGCCCCTGAAAGAAAGCTACTCATCGGTTTGGCCTGTTCTCAGGTATCTGACAACCCAACTTAAGGTTTTTAGTAGTTTTCCAACTAATTCCCCAAATTAGCAGTTCACTAAGCCTAAACTGCATAAAAACCACAGTTCATGCTAATACATACTTTCCTTCTGAGTCTGGACCTCTGGTAAATGCCAGGAAATGGTGGGCATAGAAACAAAGTCTCAAATGAGCCTCCCTGGTTGGGAAAATCTCTCCCACTTGAGCCTAACTCATTGCCAGAGGAATGCAGTGCATCTTGTGGGACTTCCTTGGAGACCACTGGCAGTCTAAGCCTTGTTATACCACACTCATCCTCGGCACTGTTCCCCCTTTGATTTTGTTATCATCTTACTGCAATACATTTCAACTGCATCGCTACAGGATAAGTCCTGGGAGACTTCCAACTTACTGTTTACTGCTTTATTTCACTTTTACTGTATAAAAGGCCACCCCAAATTTAAAAGATTATGTTTAACACATTTCTCATACATTGATAAACATGACTTATGAAGTACAATTTTCATTCTAAGCTGCTACAAAATTTCCTAAACCAAGTAAGTTATTTCACCATATATTATATATATTTATATATATGTATGTATGTATATGGGTCAATGCCCAGCACATTTATTTCATTAACTGAAATGCTTACCTCGTCTCTATGAATTTGCTTGTTGCTAGTGTTTTGATTATAACAGAACACTGTGGCAAACACCTTTCCTCCTTCTCGAGATGCATTCTATCACCCCTTGATCAGTTCATGATTCTGGTACTCATGGCCAAGTTCCATTTTAACATCCACTATACAACCAGCTGTTAACAATCCATATTCTCCATTTTCTCCCCGAACAGTGGACATTCCACAACCAGTGAGTGTTAAAATTCTTTTATTTCCGATATCCAGCCCCCTGCCCCCCAGTACAGTTTATACTTTCTAACTAAAGAGGCTACAACTTTTGTTTTTCTCCACTAAAGATTTCCTAGCTTAACACTGGGAACATGATATTTAGGCTGTTTGTGTAAAACAATTCTATGGTTAACGAAGTTTGAGAAAATGGGTAAGTAGCATTAAATAAAAATTTCATATTTTCTCAGATCTTTCCATTTTTTTTTTTGCATTGTAAAGGAACATTCTGGCATTATGGCTAATAATGCAGACAGTTCTATAAAAGCATGAAACTTTTCACTCATCTTAAAAAGACTGATATTTTACAGTATCAGTCTAAGAAAGATGATGCCAGTTCTTAGTGAGATAATAGCTATCAAGCTGTGTTTGAGAAGTCTATGGATATAGTTTCAAGAAGGCTACTAATGTTATGACCAACCAAACAGGCACATTATTGAATGCCAGATCAACTGCCTTTTAGAAGAGAACAAGTCTAAAATATCAGCCAAAATTTTAATTTTAAATGACATCAAAAGTTTTATGGATTATTAATTCCATACTTTTTATTTTGGGGGTGATTGAGCAATAATTGTTTTCCGTTATTTTTGCTGAGCATCTTTAATTTCATACATTTCCCACTCAAATCCTCAACCCCCTCCCCCATCCATGCCTCCCCCTATCCCCCACCTGACCCTATGCACTCTGCCATACATGCTGAATCCTATTCAATAAGGTGTTTGTACCCAAATGTCCTTCAGTGCAAATGGGCCCACTGGAGTCTAGTCAGCCCATCCCGTGGTGGTATGTAAGTCATAGTCTCCCTCACCCAGCAGCAATCAGTCTCATATAGTTCTCTATCTAGTGCTGGCTGGCCACCTATTTTTCACCTTCCCTTTGGACTCTTGTTTAATTGAGCTGACATGGGTCCTGCGTTTGATGCCACTGCTGCCACAGGCTCACATGAGCAAGCCTCCATGGGCCTGAAAGCCTCCACCTCCTTATGTTCATGAACCAGCCCTGGCTCTTACAATCTTTCTACCTCCTCTTCCGCAATGGTCCCTGAGCCGTGGGTTGGGTGAAGTTCCATATGAGTCTCATCCTACACTCTAGTCTCTTATTCTCCAAAACTTGGCCAGTTGTGTTCTGTGTGCATCACACTCTGATGTACATGGAAGCCTCACTTGTGAGAGTTGAGGGGTGCATTAGCCCTCTTTCTACGCCTTAGTTATAGAAGTTCGACAGCAGATGTGTCACCTAGTACTGGGCATCTCCCAGGTGTATGTTCTCTGTGCCTGACCAGATATGAAACTCTGCAAGAGCCTCCATCTGTTGCAAAAAGAACCTTCTTTGATCTCCACTCTTTTTTCTCCCATCCGGCTTCCCTTCTCCCTCCTTCCCTCCCTCCCTAGTCACAGCACCCCCATTAGGAGATACAAAGTTTCCATAAAAGGAAAAAGTAATTCAATTAGAACTAAGTAATCATTCAATAGAGCATCTATAATCCTGGAATTTGAGCTGTTCAATTTCTAACATGAAATTAAAATACACAGAGAGTGTAAAAAGGAAACTACTGAGCAAGCATTTTTAAAAGTAACAGAAACACATTGTCAAAAAAGCTCAACGAAAGTGTTTGTTAATACTTTATTAGTGTTTTCTAATGGACAGAACATAACAAACCAAATAAAAATTTTAATCTTTTTAGTTAATAAAAATAACTGACATTCTGATCTTTTCTTCTTTGTTAAAGAAGGAGAGCATTGATAGAACAGTTAGGCACACAACTGACACTTAACTGTACAATGATATGCACAAGGTATTTTTTAACAATAATAATCCTAAAATGTGCTCTTTATAGTTTTCCCTTGCAATACAGGAGCCATGCTCCCATAAACAAAATTTACTACTAATAAAAAGAATTTTACAAGGAGTGACAAAAAGACTTTTAAAACAAGTCTTTAAATAAGAGGATGCAGCAACAACGGAATGTAAGTTGTTGGGTTAAGAAGACAGTTAAACTACACCTCAAAACATTAAAAATTCATTTATTTTACAATTACTCAAATACACATGCATTGAATGAAAATATTGCACAAAATTAAAATATTAGATTGTGAAATTTATATTGTTCTTAATTTTAAAAAAACGGTACACTCTCTGGTAGCACTTAACTGATTTTTGCCCCCAAACAGCAGCAGCACAAACTTAAAATGAGCAAACTGAATTATTCAAGAAATTATTTTGTTTGTTTTAAATTAAGGCTAACCAAGTGCATCCATTGGTCAATGGCACAATTGTTTCCAGCAACTATTTAGAACACCCTAATTATAGGAAATGCTCATTTAAGTGCTATATTTAAATCATACAATCAAGTTTTAAGTGAAAAAGCTGTGATGGTTTCTAAGTAGTTTTGTGTTACCTGAAACATCAGAAAACCCAAAGAATGATTAATTTTGAAGGTTCTTGCCTAAAGGCACCACTGACTTAAAAACATTCAGAAATCGAACATCAGAAGACTTCATGTATATACCCAGAAATGCAATAAAAGCATTAAGCATAATAACTTTATTAAACATGGTACACTGCACTTGACTGATGGGTTAAATATTCTACACAGCTTGACCAAGCCACTCAAAAAGGTTATCTCTAGTTTTAACATTCCCACACACTCTCTGACGTAAAATACAGATGTGCATAGAGATGTACACTATTGTTAATATAGGCTACCGTTTGACATTTCTGCTTCTGAAATATAAACTCTTTTAAACAAAAATTACTTTAAAAACCCATTTTTTCAAATTTTTTTTTTGGTATGATTGCAGTTGTCTTGCAGGGCTGTTAGGAAAATTTGCTATTTTAAGGACCTTTCTTTCCCTGGTTGACAGCCAGTTTTCCTCACTTCATACAGAAATGCTTTTTCACATGTACACAACTAGGCTCTTGCATGAATTCTTCTGTATACACTTAGCTTTGTTCATGTAAAAATATACTTACATGGGCAGGGGTATATATGAAAATCATTGCACTTACGGCCATGCTGATGCTTCCTACAGACAAGTTTCACACAGCCCAATTTTAAAGCCTGGGACACAGGGAAAGGTGAAGGGACAAGGGGAAGGAGACATACTGAGTAGAAGAAATATTTCTTCCACCAAAGAAACAGAATCTTTCTCACTTGCAAGTTGCATGGAAAGGGATTTTACATAAGTAAGTCTGAAGACATGCAACACATGCTGAATATATGCATACTACAAGTATGCACAACAGCATTAATAAATATTATTATAAAGCTTTAAAGAAAGGCTTTCCTTTGTTAATAGGCTTTACTTTGTAAGTAGGATCTAAATGAAAGCAAGACATGAGTATCTTGTTCCAATCTTAAAGCTCCCAAATAACTGGGATACCAATACTCTATCCCTTTATCTTAAGCACCCAAACGTTCTTTTAATACCAGGATACTGGCTCAGTGGTCTGATAAGAAGCTTCACTATTTTAAGGTTTTAGTGTTAAATATTTTTAAAACAAAAAGAGCTGATACATCCAAACCCTCAGTCACTGGAAGTATTTAAAACTGCAGAAATCCTGCATATGTAGGGTATGAAGACTTCCCTATGGACAAAATGGAGAAAACACCAGGAAATGTAAAGGCTTCAAAACTGGAAAAGGTATTCAGTTTCACTGTATAAAATTATATTAGGGACTTAAATGTATACACCAAAGGTTTCTGTGTACTAGCTTTATTTAGAATTTTACATTATGCGAAATATAAATAAAAGCATTTTAAAAAATAGTACAGTTCTGTTTTCATTATTTATTTTCATATATGTACACATAATAGAATTAGGCATTTATATGTTTACATAGGACTATAAGCTCATTAATCCTTTGATTTGCTATTTCTCTAAGGCATGTCTAGATCATATGATTTAGTTATCATATGGTAGCTTTCAATAGAGTACTGTTTTAATTCCCAATTTTTAGAAGGACAGAATGTATTTGGCAGTTCTTCCAATAAATAATTCCCCTTCTGTATAATCAGTAATCTGTTAAAAAGACAAAAATACTTATTGTGAAACTTACATGAGAGCTACCACATGCTTCTTTTGCACAGAATGCCAAAGGAAAAGTTAATAGCTGAGTACCGTAAGAGCAAAACAGAGCCCTCAAGCACATAAAAATCAATTAAAGTTTATGCCAATGAATAATAAATCCAATCAAATTCTGGGTTTGATTGGTTTTATTTTATATTGTTTACATTACAACATAAAACTCTAATTTAGGGAAAAGGGTTATTTCATACTTTATGGACATTCTGTCACATTTCTCAGACCTTGAAACAATTGTTCTAAAGATTTACCTGGCTCATCCACATGAGATAAAAAATGCTGACACAGACCCACAAGGTAATTCAGCAAAACAAATCTCTCCAAATCATACATTGCACAGTCTCTAGCTATTAAACAAATTAGGCAACGGATCTGTGAACCATTGTTTTGTGCTTTCCTTAGCTCTCAGACATACAATCTGGCACTTTGTCATTGGTGGAAAATGCTGATTAGTTTGGAACGGAAGAGACCAACTCCATTCTTGCATGAGATGGGGGCAGTATCCTCTCAATGTTGCAAATTATGCACCAAATCATTTAAGACACAGGAATCTCTCTTGGTAGTGGCTGGATTATAGATGAGAATGAGAAGAACCAGTCTATGAATGTACTAATAATCTATGTTGAGACACTAAAAGACTGGTGCAGACACAACAGTATGTGAGTTAAGCCCCAGAAGATCTATCCATACCATCAGTCCTGGACAAAATGAACACCAGCTTCAGAGATTTGAGTGTCACCTTTTCTGTAAAGAAGGCGCTTGAGTAGTTTGAAGTTTCTGTTTATACTTCTGCATCTGCCTTGACCGTGAATGAAGTTTGTTGAAAAGTTCACGGAATTTATACTGTGGAAATAAGGTTTCTAAAAAGCCTTCCAAGAAGACATAAACCATTCTCCTATTTAGCTGGTTGTGCTGAAACATTTCAAAAACACGAAGAATACCTTTCCGAGTCGTCTCAGCTCCAATAATGTGCTTCAGTTCATCTAAATGAAGAGAAAAATACATACATTACTCAGATAAAGGAAACAAGCTTAAATTAAGACTGTAAAGAATCTAAAGAATATAGTCAAGTAACTCATAGACAGTAGGTATCAAGTTAAGGTGTTTCAGTTAAGTATTATAACATACTCTTAAAACTTATGCACATCTGCACTGACCATCATCTACCCATTTACACCAGAGAAAGCAGGAGACAATATGGCAAAAGACAGACTCCACACTCATAGATTCCAAACTCCAGTCATGATCCTGTGTCTTAAAACCCAGGTAATACTCTGTTTCCCCACAACTAAATGAAGATTTGTAATGACCAATATCCTTATACCCGTGTGGATTTATAAAACCTTAGTAAGATGTTTACAGTGAAACAGTAAGGAAATTTCTGATACAGAAATGGAGAGTGCAGCTGACTGTGCTACTTAGACAGGACATTGATAGTACACAAGCAGATGAAAGAGTACCCTTGGTAGTAGACCATCAATAAACAAATGAGCAGTAAATACAAAGTAGTAGGAAATAAAGATCGGGAAGTTTGGCTGAAGTTTAGAATGCAAGAGAAAGTAGAGAAGATGACGACCATCAGGTCAAGTTTGCAGCTTACTACGGACAAAACCTAGTTACCATAGCGTATTGGATGGCTACGTAGGACTGTCCTGGAATTACTCATAAGGCCCCCAAGAACAAAAATATTATTTTGCTATTTTCGAAAGAAACATCCAAGTTACATAAAGTCCGTATGGGGGCAGGGGTGGGGGAAGAACAACAATATAATTTAGTGCAAATATGTGACTTTACCAAAAATTAACAGATAATGCCTACATAAAAATCACAGTTTTCTATCTGCCCTCATTCCCTTCAGATCTTCACACTAATGTTACCATTTTTCCAGTGAGGGCCTCCTGGGCAACCTTATGTACAGCTGGAACTCACTGGATTCTGCCTACTCTCTTTTTCTGAATTTATTTTTCACCTTAGAATTTACCATTATCTAATATACTATGCTTTATTTGTTTGTTGTGTTTGTTGTTACCCTTAAAGGCCATAAGCCTTAAGAAAGAAATAATGTAAGGAATGTCTGGCATAACAAAATTTGAGTAAGAACGTACTATGTGAACTGAAAGTTCTTCTGGCTTCATTCTGTGCCACTCCATAGCACAATCTGCTTTACTATACAAGTATAGCAATATCCAAAGTTATTACTGTTTATTTTTCTAAAATGTCATTTTTTTGTTTTGTATTACCAAATTCAATCACACATGGGGAAGGCGTAATGTGGGGAAATTTTCTTATTTAATTGACAGAAAGAAAAACTGAACACTGAAGTTTTATGATGAAAATTCAATTTTAAGTCATGAGAAAATCAGTCAGGCATGGGAGCTCATGACTGTAATCCCAGCACTTAGAAAGCTGAGGCACGAGCATTGCCATAATTTTAAGGCCAGAAAGGGCTACATAGTGAGCATGAGGCCAGCCTGAGCTACAGTGTAAGACTCTTTACGATTTATTGTATGAAATGTACAAAATTCAATAAAAAGTATACACTCAAAACTACATGGAAGGATGTGTATACATAGGCTCTGTATAAACACTTTGCTATTTAATAGGGAACCTGAACATCCATGGATTTTGATCTTTATGTGGGATAGCTGAGATGACTGTACTCCTGTCTTATATCTCTATTCTATGATTATGTATTTCAGAATAATTCAGACATTTAAATACATCATAAATAGTATCTAAAATTTAGAAATTGTTTATGGTTCTTTACCTTGTAAATCAAACATGTCAACAGTCATCAGTAAGAATTTTTCTAGAAAAGCAATGGCTTCCTGAGGGAGAAGTAACTTTAGCCTTTGCTTATAGCACTTATATCACATTTTTTTGTTTTTAATAAAATGGTTAAATATACCATCAAAAAAAAATAAGTAAAAGAATGAGGAAAGAAAGCAAATTCATAAAAAGTAAGTAATGATATTAAAAAACTTATAAATCCATCATATTCGTCTCCTACATACATAATTGAAGCAAGATATAATACATCTAAGCATTAAAAAATATTCATTTTTATAGTTACTTGTGCAAAGTGACAAAACCACCATTATCAATCATCCCCTGGTCACAAAAACCCATGACTAGGATCACTTACTGACAGAGATAAAAGGACAAAATAAATCTAAGTTAGTGATGCAATCATATCATAAATACCTCAAATGAGACCAACAAAATGCTCTCTTCAGTATCACATTTTAATTGATAAAGATTAATACTTGTTTACTCAGTTGATCTCCATGTAAACGGACTTATATGCTAAGTTAAACATTCTTTCTGAAAAATTCTACTTTACTTTGTTTATTTGCTTTTGAGACAGGGTCTCATGTAAACCAGGCTGGCCAAGTGCCGGGATCACAGGCCTATGCCCTGACACCTGCTTTATGCAGTACTAGGAACTGAATGCAAAGTTTTATACATGCTAGACTAGCATTCTGCGAACTGAGCTGCATCCTCAGCCATACTGTATTCATTAGCCCATTCATGTGTCACATCTTCTTTACTTCTCAAAATGTTTCAAGGCATCACAGTGAAATGGCTAAAGGCACAAGTCTCTAAATAATACAAAGATAAGTCAGAATCCTGACACTTCCTACCTACAAATCTTAGGTAGGTGACCTGAGCTTATCTCCTCATACACAAAATTACACTGTTAATGGTGACTTCTTTCTAAGGACTGTTGGCTAGGAAGATCTGCTAGCGAAACGCCTAGTATAATACCTAGGAGATAGTATGCCATCATATGGGAGCTATAATAATAAAAAGGAGCTAAATTAGAATGATCAATACTGAAAATTCAGAAGAACTACCAACAAATTAAATTTTAATCAAGCGTGTTCACTCACCTGGCATAATTGCAAGTAACTTCGTTTTTCCTGCAATTCTTGTTCTCATTCGAGTAGCTTTATCTCTACATGGCATGGCCTCTGCTAAAATGCCATTTGGCCAAAATGCATCTCTATTTTTAAAAAGTAAACAAATTTTGTAAGGATTTTCCTTTCTTAATGATATAAATTGATAGCATTACAAATTGGGAGAGAAGTAAAAAGCTCAAACAGGAAGAAAAAAAATTCTAAAATTTTAAACAGGCATAATGATTACAAATGTTAACTAAGTATAGGATTCAATTTTAGACAAAGGATATACACAAGAAAGGGAACAGATAAACTCCGCTCTCTAGTAGTTCACACAAACACTAACAAATTGGAATACACAGGCTAACATATGACAGACACATAAATTCAACAGTGGGAGCTGCTAACTTAACATCTCATCTAAATACCACCCACAGCATCTTAAATTTGGAAGCCTTGGAGGTTAGCAGCTACTTTCCCTTTGCTAGGCCACTCCACTCCCTTCTAGCTCAGCCAACATAAAGCTAAAGTGGATGCTCACAATGTATGCATAGGAGCCCACTCTCTTTATTTCAATGTGTTTGATTCCTGCTCCTTAATCTTTGGTCTAAAGATGGCTGGAAGGAAAGGGTCTGAAGGAGTGAGACTCCCTAGATGTCCAGAGGTGTCCAACCTTTTGACACTGAGACATGATGTTGTCACCTACAAATGTGTTGGGCTGTATTCAGTTATCCTGTGCTACAGACGGGACATGCCTATAGAGCAGTCATTCTTACAGGAGTGGTTCTAGAGAAACAGAATTGAAAGGATGAATTTTCTTAAATATTTTATTGCTATTATTTTTTTCTCTTCTTTTTTATTATTTATTATTTTTACTGTACGTGTATGCATGTATTGCCTGTATATATGCAAGTACACCCATGTTGTGCAGTGCCCATGGAGGTCAGAAGAGGATGTCCGATCCCCTGGAATTGAAATTACGAACTGTTGTAAGCTGCCATGTAGGTGCTGGGAACCAAACTCAGGTCCTCTGTAAGAACAGCCAGTGCTCTTAACCTCTGACCCATCTCTCCAGCTCCATGCGACGAATTTTTTTAATGGGCTTGGTGATATCTGGAGCAGGCTCAACAACTCAAACCTACAGTGACTAAAGACTTCCCTGGTAGCATGGAGAGCACTGAAAACCTAGGGTGTGAACTGTTTAAAGAAATGATGAAGATAAATGGATAGAGTCTTCCAATTCACCTCTTGTGAGAAGCAAGGAATTTACTGACTTTCTGTATACAATGTTTGACAATTTGTGGAAAATAAGGAAAATAATGATGTTGACTGACTGCTTCTAGCATCTCTAGATAGAGTGATGGAGGAAAAGAATGAGCTCAATGATAAGATTAACCATCTCCAGATTCACATCAACAGTCTAAAGGTTTCTAAGTATGCCCTGAAAGAGCTTCTCTCCAGCAGCCACAGAGTTCAAATTGCAGAAAATCAAGCAGAAGCCCTCATTATACCTTTGGCTGGCTTACCATGCAAATTTAATTCCCAGCCTCAAAGACTGATGCAAAAAAAGTGAGGGCACTGCTAGGGAAAGAGTGGGATCCTGTAACCTGGGATGGACATGTGTGGGAGAGCCCTAAAGAGACCGAAGACTTTGAACCCTCCAACTTTGAAGAGTTTATTTCCCCTGATGAATTAGTCTCTTCACCCTCAGCAGAGATTGCATACCCATACCCACACCCACACCCTGTAGAACTGCCCTCCCCACACTTGCCTTAAGGAAGTGGCAAGACAATACCAAAGTCTCTCAGTGCCCACTAACTGTTGCCTTTAGACCTATAACCAGACTCAAGGCTAAGCAGGCCCCTAGAGGTAAGATAGAAAATGTGGTTTGTGAGGAGGCATACTATATAATTAAATAACTTAATGAGCTTGCTAATTCATCCAAGCGGAAGTCTGGGGAATATGTATGGGAATGGATTTTAAGGATGTGGGATAATGATGAAACGTAAAATTCTATCAGGCTGAGTTTATCAGTGGGCCCACTGAGTGGAGATTCTAAGTTTAATATGGAAGCTAGGCAGTTAAAAAAGGTGCGAACAGTTTCTGTGACTGGTTGGCTGAAGTATTATCAAAAGATGGCCTACTGAGAGAATAGGCAATGCCCCAGAGGACATGACTTTCACTAATGTTATAAAGAGGCAAAATGGTATTGTCCACAAAATATCACACTAGTCCACTATACTGATATTGATTGGATTCAATGAGCAGGAGGTAGCAACCACTCTAGACTTGTTGGTAAAGCATATGCAAATGAAAGGGTGGGAAGTCAACCAAAATTCAAGGGACTTCTACCTCAGTAGGAGTCCAATGGTGTGGGGCATGCAGAGATATTCCTTCTAAGGTGAAAGTTAGTTGTTGCACCTGGCCCCTTCCTCCACCAAGAAAGCAGCACAATGCTTAGTGGGTCTCTTTGGATTCTGGAGGCAGCACATTCCTCACTTGGGTGTGTTTCTATGACCCATATACCCAGTAACTCTGAGGCAGCTAGCTTTAAGTCGGCCTGGATCAGGAGAAGGCTCTTCAACAGGTCAGGCTGCTGTGCAGGCTGCTCTGCCACTTGGGCCATATATATGATCCAGCAGACCAGATGGTGCTTGAGGTTTCAGTTGCTAACTAGAGATGCCATTTGTAGACTCCAGCGGGCCCCCATAGGGGAATCACAGCAGCTGCCTTGGGATTTTGGAGCAAGGCTCTATCTACCTTCATCTGCAGACAACTATTCTCCCTTTGAGAGCCAGTTCTTAGCCTGCTCTTGGGCCTTATTGTGCAGAACTTCCACTTGATTACCCAACAGAAGCATCTTTGGAGACAGGATTCACTCAGGGTTAAAGCTCTCCAGGTGGTTTCACACTACAGCCAATACTGAGAATCACTGCTACAGACCGTTCATCTACCCGAACTAAGATGAAGAGATCAGGGGAGGTAGTTCAATTTTTGAAAACAACTCTATAAAAGGGAAAATTTTAGCTTTTGAACAGAAAAGCCAGATTCCTTTCTTTCAACCATCAGACCCTTTGAGTAAACCACTTTTCTTCTTTAATCCTCAATTTCCTCACAACAAAATGGAAAAAGAAGAAAAATAAAAACAAAAAACAATAAAAAAAAACTCCTGACCTGATGAAACAGGATATAAAATCAGAAAGCAAATATAAAGAACTGAGCTCAATGAAAAGCAATTGGTGTGACACTGACAGTACCCTTCTTGAGCCCTTCCCCTACCTCCAAAGTACAGGAGGCTATACATTTTTAGTCATTGCTCATCTTTACATTTACAAAAGAAGCTTATTTCTCTATTATCTGTGCTTTCCTGAAGAAACTGTGTCTTATCTCTCAGTGTTTGGCAGTGCCCTAGGCACAGAGGAAAGGCTCAGTACATTCTGTGGCATGAACTTAAGAATCAGAATGTCAATGCTGCTTTATTTGTAGTATTATTTTCAAACATTCAACTAAAAAGTAAACTGCTAACACAGATACATTTTCCTAAACTGTTCACTTAACTATTTCTATGATAAAATGTTAAGTGTTTTTGACATGGGGTTTTCTTCCACTTCTGGTCCACTTGCCTCCACCTCCCAAGTGCTGGGATGTAAGGCATGCACTACCATGCCCAGTTTTCTATACTCTTTCAATTATCTTAAAGCCATTCTATGCAATAAAACTCTTTCATTTTAAACATTTCTCCCTTTGCACCTTTTCTAGTCTTGACTTAAAAAACCCTACAAAAATCAGTAAGTCCTTGGTCAAATATTCATTTATTTATAATTAAAGTGTGTGTGTACGCATGATGTGTGTGTGCTAGCATGGCGTGCACAGACATGAAGGTCAGAGTCAGAGGACAACTGAGGAGCTGGTTCCATTTTATGTGGGATCCAGAGATCAAACTCACAAGGCTTGTATGGCAAGTGCCTTTGCCCTTTGAGCCATCTCATCATAATTCTTACAAGTCTCTGCTCTTAAAAAATTTATGACCAGGCAAGAAACCAAAGCAGTGAAAGTTAAAAGTCAGTGATAACAAAGGTAAACTGCGTACTACCAGAAAGAAGCGATTGAGTCTTAAAGATATACCTGAATCGTTTCACTGAGTCAGCTACTTGCTCGGGTGAGGTCATCCAATCAACATGGTCAACTATTTTTCTGAAAGTAAAGGAATTTCAAAGAGTATGATTAAGAGTTAGTAGGTAAACAAAATTATTAAAAGTTTCATGGAGTAAGCAGTTAAATTTGGGTATAAACTTTCTCTGAGAACAAGAGATCTAATGATCTTAAAAGGTCCTGAGGAAAAATTTTTCCACAAAGGCTGAGCAAATCGCATACAGAAAAGAAGTTCAAAAAAGGAAATAACATCAGGCTGTAGTAGGAAAAGAAAGAAAGATACCTATTGATAGTATCACCATATGTTGCTCTAATAAGCTGCTGAAGCAGGTTTTTGATGTTCCTTCGCAACCACTGATTCCTCTCTTTTAAGTCGAACACTTCATCCATTAGAAGCAGCATTACCCTAAGTGGAATATTGTCATCCACCTGACAAAATGTAAAAAATATTTGGAATAAAATTATTAGTTACCAATGTAATTATGAATGCTTACAAGTCAGAGAATAAGTTACATTAAAGACTTCAAAAGTTGACATTTCATTCTAATTCAGAAAAAAAAATTCTAACAATCACTTTACAATTTTACAATCTGAGGCTGTATTTTAAAAGAAGCTTCTCCTAGGCAGGAGAGATGGCTCAGTGGTTAAGAGCATGGACTGCTCTTGAAGAGGATCTGGGTTCGATTCCCAGTAAACACCTGGCCGCTAACAACTGTCTGTAACTCCAGTTCCAGGAGATCTGACACATGCTTCTGACCTCCATGGGCATTGCATGACACATGCAGACAATACACTCATACACATAAAAAAAAGAAGCCTCTCCATTTGAATTCATGTGTATTCTTGGCTAGGGAAACATGAATGACTTTCAGCACAGGCTATGCTATTCTGGTAAAGCAATGCTAGAACCAATACTTATTTTCTCATTATATATATTTAACAGAGAAAACAATACAGGGTATATTTTGCTTGATTAATAAGTTATATATATATTACATATGTTTTCAGAAAATAGAAGCTAAAACTTTAACCCAGCATATTACTAAATTTACGTTAAAAATATATATTTCATAAATTACTAGAATTTTAATGATAATTGTAATTTGGTGAAATTAGTACACTTTAGTATAATAAATTAAATTATACAAATTAGTATATTAGCAAATATAATTAGTGTACCTAATATAATTAGTATACTTAAAGTTAGTATGCTTTTGTTATGGGAGCATTTAGTCAACAAGATAACAGACCAGAACCCAGAAACAGATTCAAACTTATGAGAACCTAATCACATCTGTATGATTAAAAAAAGATATAGCATAGTAGGGGAAATCTGGCCTTTCAGTAACTGGTACTTAGGTCAACTGGACTTATACTTCATTTCATACCTCCGTTGAAGTGAAAATTTAAATGTTAGTATGGTAAAGCAAAAGAAGTTTAAAAAAAAAATCACAGGGTAACATCATCATGAATCTGAAGTAGGCCAAATTATAATAGAGAGAACCAAAGCAGCTGACAGTAAAAGATGTTCCACATGTATGTGTGCATACACACACATACACACACACACCTCTACCTAATAAGGAACTAAGACTCAGATTGTATGTAGCACCCATACTAATAAAAAGATAAGACAGCTGAGTAAACAGAAAAATGGGCAAAAGATTTAGACATATGAGACAGGAAACTGAATGGCCAATACACATGAGTCTACATGAAATACAACCACAAGAAGGTTGAATTACAAAGATGCAAATGTTGGCTATTGGTAGGATATAAAAGAGTAAACCTCTCACACACTGCTGGTACAATGGAAGTAGCACAAATAATATTCTTAATGGTGTGGCACTATTTATTCTTTATTGAGCGTCTTTAATTTCATACATTTCCCAGTCATAAAGCCTCATCCCCCCTTCCCCCATCCATGCCTCCCCCTATTCCCCCACCAAACCCTATGCACTCTGCCATACATGCTGAGTCCTATTCATTCAGGTGTTTGTACCCATATGTCTTTCAGTGTAAATGCATCCACTGGACTCTAGTCAGTCCATCCAGTGGTCCTTTGTAAATCATACTCTCCCTCACCCATCAGCAATCAGACTTAAATAGTTCTCAATCTAGTGCTGGCCCACCACCTATTTCTCACCTCCCCTTCGGGCCCTTGTATAATTGGGCTGACATGGGTCCTGCACTTGATACCACCGCTGCCACAGGCTCACATGAGCAAGCCTCCAGTGGCCTGGAAGCCTCCACCTCCCTGTGTTCATGAACCAGCCCTGGCTCTTACATCTTTCCACATCCTCTTGCACAATGGTCCCTGAGCTGTGGGTGGATGAGGTTCCATAAAGGAGTATGTTCTTTGCAGCTTTGTCAAATATCAGGTGGCTGAAACTCATGTTTGGGTCTTCTATTGTGTTTCACTGATTTACGTGTCTATTTTTGTGCCACTACCATGCTGTTTCTATGACTATCAGTCTGTAATATAATCTGAGATCTGGTATGGTGATCCCCCCCAACATTATTCTTTTTTCCCAAGATTGTTTTGGCTATCTGGGGTCTTTTGTGATTCCATATGAATTTTAGCATGATTTTGTCAAGCTCTGTGAAAAATGTGATGGGTATTTTGATTGGGATTGCATTGAATCTATAAATTGCTTTTGGTAAGATGGTTATTTTCACAATATTGATTCTATCAATGCATGAGCATGGTAGATATTTCCATCTCTTAGTGTCTTCCTCTATCTCTTTCTTTAAAGTTTTGAAATTTTCATTGTAGAGATCTTTAATGTCTTTGGTTAGGTATATTCTTAATTTTTTTTTTTTTATTTTTTGAGGCTATTAAGCATGGGAGGGTTTCCTTGAGTACATTTTCTGATTGCTTGTTATTGGTATAAAGAAAGGCTACTGATTTTTTTAAAGTTGACTTTGTATACTGCCACTTTACTGAAAATATTAATCAATTCTAACAGTTTCCTAGTGGAATTTTTGGGATCTCTTATGAATAAGATCATATCATCTTTAAATAAGGATAATTTAACCTCTTCTTTTCCAGCTGGTACTCCTTGAATTTCCTTCTCTTGTCTTACTGCTATTGCAAGAGTTTTAAGCACTGTATTGAAAGGGAGTGGAGATAGTGGGCAGCCCTGTCTGGTTCCTGATTTTAATGGGAATGCTTCCAGTTTTTCTCCATTTAGGATGATGTTGGCTATGGGCTTATTGTATATAGCTTTAATTATGTTGAGGTATGTTCTTTCCAGGCCAATTCCTTCTAGGACTTTGAACATGAATGCATGTTGGATTTTGTCAAATGCCTTTTCTGCATCTATTGAGATGACCATGTGGTTTTTGTCTTTAAGTCTATCTATATGTTTTATTACATTTATTGACTTATATATGTTGAACCATCCCTGCATCTCTGGAATAAAGCTGACTTGATTATGGTGGACGATCTTTTTGGTGTGTGTCTGTTTGTGGTTTGTAAGTATTTTGTTGACTATCTTTGCATCTATGTTTATTAAGGATATGGGTCTATAGTTTTTTTGCTGTTGTATCTTTACCTGGTTTGGGAATTAGAGTGATAATGGTTTCATAGAACGAGTTTGGGAGTTCTCCTTCTGTTTCTATCTTTTTGAATTTAAGCAGTATTGGTTGTAAATTTTCTTTGAATGTCTGGTAGAATTCTGCCATCTGGGCCTGGGCTTTTTTTAGTTGGATTTTTTTTTTTTTTTAAGCCGGTTTAAGCTGTTGATCTCCTCTTGGTTTAAGTTTGGGGGTCGCCATGATTTTAGAAATTCATCCATTTCTCTTATGTTTTCAGTTAATGGAGTATAGAGTTTTAAAGTATTCCCTTACAGTGTTTTGGATTTTTTTGGTGTCTATTGTGATATTTCCCCTTTCATTTCTTATTTTGTTGATTTGGATTTGCTCTTTCTTTCTTTTGGCTAACCGGGCTAAGGGTCTTGTTTAACCTTTAAAAGAAACAGTTCACAGATTCATTAATTTTTTTGTACTGTTTTGTTTCTATTTCATTAATTTCTGCTCTGAGTTTTATTATTTATTTTCGTCTACTATGTTTGGTGTTGGTTTGTTCTTGCCTTTCCAGAGTCTTGAGTTGTACGGTCAAGTCGTTTGCATGTGCTCTTTCTGATTTTTTAACATAGGCACCAAAAGCTATGTATTTCCCTCTTAGGACTGCTGTCAGGGTGTCCCAGAGCTTTGTTGTGTTGTGTTCTCATTTTTATTTTGTCCAGGAATACTTTTATTTCTTAATTTCTCCTTGGACCCATTCATGATTTAGTAGTGTTGTTTAACCTTCATGAGTTCTTGTATTTGCTAGAGCTTCTTTTGCTGTTGATTATAACTTTATTGCACTGTGGTCTGATAGAAGACATGGAATTATTTCAGTTTCTTTGTATTTGTTGAGATTTGTTTTGTGCCCCAGAATGTTGTCAATTTTAGAATAACTTGCATGAGCTGCTGAGTAGAAAGTGTATTCTTTGGTGGCTGGGTGTAATATTCTATATATATGTTAGGTCCATTTCATGTAGTATGTCATTTAATTCAGATGTCTCTCTGTTTATTCTTTGTATAGCTGACCTGTCAACTGAAGACAGTGGAGTTTTAAAGTTGACCACTATCACTGAGTTGATGTCAATCTCTGTTTTATAGTCCTAGACTACTGATTTTATGAAATTGGGTGTTCTAGAGCTTGGTGCATAAATGTTCATGATTGTAATCTATTTGTATAATTGTTCCTTTGATTGGAATGCAGTAACCCTCATCTCCTCTGATGAATTTTAATTTGAAGTCTATTTTGTCAGATATTAAAATTGTGACACCTGCTTGCTTCTTAGGGAGCCATTTGCTTGGAATATTGTTTTCCATCATTTCACCCTAAGATAGTTTCTATCCTTGAAGGTGAGACAAATTTCTTGAAGACAACAAAAAGATGGGTTTTCTTTCTTGATCCATTGCACCAGCCTGTGTCTTTTGACAGGGGAGTTGAGGCCATTGATATTTAGTGTGATTATTGAAAGGTGTATATTGTATACTGTTGTTTTAATTTCTTTGTTTGTGGTCCTATTTTGTGTTTCTGTTGTTATACCTTTACTTTTTCTTCTGTAGCCTCTTAGCATACTCATTCCTTTTTTTCAGTCCTTTGTGTTGCTTCAAGTATTCTCAGTAGTGCTGGTTTGGAAGACATGAATTCTTTCAGGCTATTTGTGTCATGGAAGATTTCTGTTCCCCTTCGACAATGACAGATAGTTTTGCTGGATAAAGTATTCAGGGTTGGCATCCATGGTTGTTTAGATCTGGGAATACTTTGTTCCAGGGTCTTCTGGCTTTCATAGCTTGCATTGAAAAGTTGGCTGTAATCCTGATGGGTTTTTCTCTATATGTAACTTGTTTTTCTCTAGCAGCTTTCAGTACTCTCTTTGTTCTGTACATTTAATATTTTTACTATGATATGCCACAGGGCCTTTCTGTTTTGATCATACCTTAATGGTGTTCTCTGTGCTTCTTGAATCTCTATATACATATCTTTCCTTATTTAGGGACGTTTTCCTCTATAATCCTATTGAAGATCTGTTCGATGCCATTGGTTTGAGTTTCTTCTCTTTCCTGTATGCCTTTAATATGTAGATTTGGTTGTTTATGGTGTCCCACTTTTTCTGAGTATTCCATTCCTGTGATTTTTTGAATATTGCATAGTCTTTGCTTAAGAAGTCCAGATCGTCAACTTCATTCTCCAGTCTTGACATTCTGTTTTCCATTTCATTCATTCTGCTTGTGAGACTTTCTCCTGTTGTTTCTAATTGGTTTACTGAGTTTTTCAGTCCCATATTCATTTCCATTTTGGTTTTCTTCACTATTTCTATCTCTTCAGTGAATTCACTTTTCAGGTTATAAATTGTTTTTGATACTTCATTAAGCTGCACATTTGTATATTCTTAGACTTCTGTTAAAAGTTTATACTTTTCCTCTTTGAGTTCTTTGAATTGTTTGTGCTTTCTTGAAGTTCTTTGATCATGTTTATGAATTGTTCTTTTAAATTCTACATCCTGAGGTTCTACAGCGTGGTTCTCAATGCTGTGCATCTCTGTAAGACTCGTGGGTTTTGCTGAGGACATATTTTCCTGGTTTTTCATATTGTTTGTGTTTTTGCATTGCTGTTTGGGTATTCTTTGTTGAGCATGTGTTCAATAGGAACGTCTACTCTGCTTTCGTTTAATTTTGCTTCTGTTAATATTGTTTATGTACCTTAGTTACTTTTTGTTTAGGTATGGAAGACAAATTGTTAAGTATTTCGAGTTCTTGCTGGGTAGTAGACTGATAAGAGTCCTCATTGAGCAGGTCTGTCTGCCTGATCTGGAGGCTGGGAATTTGGTGATGAGGGTGACTACCTGGGTGAGGACTAAGAGATCTATGGTAGGGTGATTAGTTAATGCCTGGTTTGGGAAACTAGTCCTAGGACTTGAGGTGAAGGAACTAAACTGGAGCCTGCCTGTGATAGAGGATGGCAGGGGACAGGGTGGGGGTGGATGAGAGAAATGGGGTAGGGAGACAGTGAGCTTGGCACAAATACTTTTGAAAAAATGTTTGGCAGTATGTCCTAAAACTGAGTTTACGTATACTCTTTGACTCAGGAATTTAATTTCTAGGTATAGGAACATATAATTATTTTTTCAGTTATAAAACATGAACTAAAGTGTTTACAGAAGTTCTATGCATAATCCAATTAATAAACTGTGCTAAAATTACAAGATTAAATACCACAAAGACACAAGAATTAAGCAATTAAGTAACAGCACAGAACAATGTCACAATGTAGAGCCAAGAAAGCCACACATACAGTGTATAGACTTTGCAGTTTCATTTTTACGAAGTATAAAAGCAAGATAAAAGTAGAGCAACAGTCCTTCATAGAGGAGAAGGTTATGCTAGAAGAGAGGATGAGGACTTTCTAGAGTACTAGTAATTTCTGGTTTTGTTTGTTTTAGTAAGAGTGCTAATGAGAGGAACATGTTCAGTATCTAAGAATTTACTGAGCTTACTTAGCACAATATGTAAAGTGAGTGAATGATACATATGCATATTTATTAACAAGTAAAGATCTGCTAAGCATGATTTAAATTGTAACTCTTACGCCTAGTGCCAAGAATACAATTAACTCACATTATCATCAAGTTGAGCTGAGACTCGACAGTGTTCAGGATCTGAATCGGTCTTCGTAATTAAAGGAGGCACCTATACATTTAAAAGAAATAAATTAACACACTAAGGCAAACAGTCAAATATACCATCATCATAAATCAAACCAAAACACAGTATTTGATTTGATTTTGTGTGTAACATACTAGTAAAGTTGATCATTCTAGAATGTGAAATCAAATATTACCCAAAAGGTCTATTTTTGGTCTGTTTGGTATTTTAAAAAAGAATTGACTTTTAAATTGAATGGGGAGTTACTTAGCCAAACTCCATAGTTTGTAGAAGAATTTAAAACTAAGCCAGGTTGACTTGAAGATCACACAATCCATAGAATTACAAAGGAATAGAAGAACTCCAATCTTTTACCATAAGACCTCTTTACAGTATGTTAATAGGTTTAAGGAATTGACCAATGATTAGATAAAGGGAAAAGGAAAGAAAAACCAATGTCAGCTGAAAAACATTTGGCAATACAGCAAAGACTATCAAGATCACCTACTGTGAAGCCCATACAAGGACATATGACAAAGTCTCAGCAGTAGCCCTGCCAATCATTTAAAGGTTGGTATACTTGTCACAATTACAGACAAAGATACAGCACCGTAGAAAGTATAACATTTAACAGAGAAGCATTGTGTCTACATTAAGGAAACTATTCACTCAGATTCACATTCAATTAGCTATTACACATTCCCATCACAGCTCAAACATGATCTAAGAAGTAACAAGAAATCTAATAGCTTTATGGTTTTTCCTGTCTTTGATGACAACTTTAGAAAACTATGTCAAAATTATTTTTAAATGTAAGTTAGGAATGTAAGAAAGGAACTCAGTCCAAAATCCTTATCTAGGAACGTAATAAAAAGCTTCCTGGAAACTCTTCCATGGCACCCAGCGATGGTGGCACAGCAGTTGCCTTTTGGAGTAATTTTAAAATGTATTTCAACACATATATGAATTAAAACTTTGACTGATAAAGACATTATTAGAAAAGGAATAAAAGCTTTCATTGTTTACTTATTAAAGAAATAAAAATACTTTCTCAAGGCCAGGTGTGGTGGCGCACACCTTTAATCCCAGCTCTTGGGAGACAGAACGAGGCGGATCTTTGTGAATTCAAAGCCAGCCTGTTCTACATAGTGAGTTTCTGGACAGCTGGGGCTACAGGGGGACCCTGTCTCAAAAAGACCACCCGCCCCCCCGAAAAAAACCCCCCAAAACCTCAAATAGAAATTGAGCACATTAAGACAGGCCCTGACACTGACCATCTGAAGGCCTTTTCCTTACTTTGTTCTGGCGGGCCTTCATTATGTGAATAAGGAGAATAAGGAGAAATTAGATTTTATGTTTCTTTAGTGAATATTAGTATAATTTGCTTGCAAAAACAAGTTATTTGCAAAGAAGTTTATGGCATTAAAGAATCAAAATGGTTTAATGGAATAAAACAATTCAAAATATTAACTTTAGTGATTTAAAATATTTGCTGCAAATGGATTTTAAATTTTTACCATAGAAGAAACTGATGCGTGACAGGATTTTTCAGTACCTGTTTTTGATATAACATTGCTCTTTTCAGCTTTACTTTTTTTATGAGCCTGTGTCTGAAGATTTGGGAAAGGAATAGAACACATCTTAGCTGATTTAAAAATAATCTCCATTAGAAATCACTGGAAATGTCTTCTTACCTTAAAAAATGACTGCTTTATGTCTTGACCTAATCTTTCTGACATTTTGCCCATGTTGTCTGACATTTTAGTCATTCCTTCTGCCAAGCTATCAGGAAGGGATTTAACTGCATTTGAAACATTCCTCATAGAATTGCGAAGTGGATTTACAAAAGTGTCCATCTAAAGGGAAAAAGAAATTATACCATTAGCTTCATCACATCAGATTTGCTGCTCAACTCAGAAGTCTTCAAAAACACACAACGCAGCACATGGAAAGATAAAATGATTTTTCCAGTCAGTATTATGCCATTGTACTTTAAGATTACACAGAGCTGTTGCCTTTGGTGTGATTTAAAAATATACCTTGTCACATAAATGAATTAAAAAATATTGACTGATGAAGACGCTGTTAGAAAAGGAATAAAAGCTTTCATTGCTTACTTATTAAGAAATTCTGAATAAAAATATTGTCTCAAATAGAAATTGATATAAGTAGAATTGACCATTATATATTTCAATCATTACTCAAAGCAACAGTGAGATATTTGGGTAGACACTGAAAAGAAAACAAGTATTCAAAAACAAACAGAAAGTTGAATAACTAATAATCATTTTAAGTTTGTTTAAAAAATATTTCTTAGGATACATTATGTATGTTCAATGAGAATCTACTAAGGGAATGTGGTACCATTACAAAAAGACTAAGAGATGTACCAGCTAGATGTGCCAATCACATTTTATTAAAATAGAAAGAGTATGAGTTAAAGAAAAATATGATTAGAGATATAAGAAGGCATAAGATTCTCCAGAGAGACAGAAAATAAAGTTTGATATTCAGATTATATAACTATCAAATAAGAAATGGAGAGCTATCTAAAGAAATCACAGGTTATATAAGGAACCCTCCAAAAGAAGAGCTTTTAATTTAGTTTAATCTTTTGAAATGGGGTCACATTATGTTGTCCAAGCTGGTCATGAACTCCTGTGCTCAAGCAATCTTTTTAACTCAGTATTCTAAGTATTACAGATACAGGTGCACACCACCATGCCCATAAAAAGGAGAAATTATTAACAAAGAAAAACCTCAAGCCCTGTGTGGTGGTGCATGCCTTTAATATCAGCACTTCCCAGGCAGAGGCAGGCAGATTTCTGTGAGGTGGAAGACAGACTGGTCTATATAGCAAGTTCTGGGGCTAGACTGGGCTACAGGAAGACCCTGTCTCAAAAAAAAAAAAAAAAAGCAAACAAAAAACCATAATATGACATAATATAGCATAACATAACATAAAGTAGCAACATAAAATAACACAACATAGCATAAAATAGCAACATAAAATAAAATAACATGATATAAACCATCAAAGAAAGGACACAATATAAAAATCAGAGAAAACTTCAAGAATCTTTTCTAGAGCATCAGGAATGAGGAGACCCTGAGTTAGTAAAGTGCCTGCCTGGCAAGGATGAATCTGAACTCAATCCCTGCCACCTATGTAAAGGAGCTGAACATGGCTGCTAGTTGGGCAGAGACAAGAGAATTTGGAGCTTGCTGGCACACAAGTCTAGCCAGAGCAGTGGACTGAGTTTAGTGGGAGACCCTGTCACAAAAAGTAAGGTGGAGAACGGTTGATCAAGACACCTTCCATCAGTCTCTGGCTTCCACATGCATTCATACACATGTGCACCAGAGCATGAACGAACGAACACACACACACACACACACACACACACACATACACACACACACACACTTTCTAGAATGAGTTTTTAAAGAAATATTTTATTTATTATTTTTATTTTATGTGTATGAGTGTATAGCCAGCATGTATAAGTATACCTGTGGTGTGTAGTGCCCGCAGAGGTCAGAAAAGGGCAACGGATTCCCTGGAAATGGAGTTATAGATGATTGCTAGCCACCATGTGGATGCTGGGAATTGAACCCAGGTCCTCTGCAAGAGCAGTCAGTGCTCTTAACCACTGAGCCATCTCTCCAGCCCCCAGAATATGAGTTTTAAAAATTATAAACTCTTATTTATTTGTATTAATTCCTAAAAGGCCAGTCTTTTTAGGAAGGAACAACAGTGGTAGAGAATTCTTTTTCAGTTTTCATTTCAATTACCCCAAGACTTCTAAAAACTTGCAAAAGAATACAACAGTCACTGCACACCTTTCCAAGTTCTGCTACTACTTCTGCTATATTAACAGCAAACATTTACACAGAGGTTAATTATGTGTCTAAAACTTTAAAACACAGAGTAATATCTTACTTGATTTACACAATGGCCTAAAATGAAGAGTGACAGGTTTCATTTCTTTTTATAACATTTTATTTTTGTGTATGAGTGTATTGCCTGCATGTGTGTAAGTGGACCCATGATGTGCGAGGCCCACAGAGGTTGGAAGAACACATTAGAGTCCCCTGGAAGTAGAGTTACAGACAGTTGTTAGCCATTATGTGGGTGCTGGGAATTGAACCTGGGTCCTCAGCAAGAGCAGTCAGTCCTCTTAACCACTGAGCCATTTCTGGAGCCCCCTCCCCACACCTTCATTTCTTGAGGAAATAAAAGTAGCAATATAAAAAGTAAGGCACTGAAGGTCACAGGTAGTAAGTAGTCAAGCAGGGATGTGAAGGGAATGTGTTTTCAATGCTTATTCCAAGTGCAGTCTGGTTCCATTTTTTAAATTACTTAAAATATTTTACATAATAAAGGCTTTACTTCTTAGGCATAAATACTTTCAGAATAAAACACATTCTATTTAACATTTTCCTTGTCCTTATTCCAACTAAAAGACATTTCCTCCAGTTTAAAAAAAAATTCCTGCTCAAGATAATAAAAACCTTGTGACCTACTTTAGGGAAACTTTACTTAATGGACTATTTAGTTGACTTGCTTGTTAGTTTTTCTTTCAAGTTTCTGGTAGATCTCGCCCTGAGCTTGTACATAATAGATACCTCAGGTACCAGTACAGTTATTAAAGCTAGAACACACAATACCAATGCACACTAAACATCTCATTTTAAATCACATACAGACCTTTACCGTTCCTTTATTGAAAAAATAAGAAAGCAGACCTCAAAAAAAAAAAAAAAAAAAAAAAATCAACAGCTCACTCACCTTGCGAGCAAAATCCCCTTTCCCTTTACTATAGGCTTTGTTCTCAAGGAAATCATACACACAGTGAGCCAAAGCTGGGGAAGCTTTCATCATTTCAGGAGTTAAGAGTAACTAGAGGGAAAAGAAGGTTAGTTTGAGCTCACAAAATAAAGGAAATTGTTGTTTCTCATTTCACTTCACAAAAAGTTATGAATGTAAAATATTTTCACTTTATTTTCTGAACCTATGGCTTAGACTAAGAAGATCAACATTAGAAAATTGTGTTAGTAACATAACTATAGTTCACATTAAACAGAAATAAATAGTTAGAATTTTAAGAAATATACAAAAATTTCAAGTGCTATAAAGAAGTCCCAAACAAATTACTGCTTTCATAACCAATAATGACTTAGTTATTAGTTCCTTCAATGCAACAAGTTGTAATCTATTGAGTTCATGAAGTATACAGCAAAACCGCATTTAAAAACCAGACCCATGGTACCACATTTGGAAAAAGTTATTTGTTGTCTTACAAATGTAACTGATCTTAAGAAAAGATATATAATATACTAAAGATATTAATGGAATTGAAACTGGCATTTTTTTTAAATCAAAATGTCTTAGGAATGTGGCTTCCAGCTTCAAGCTAAGAGAGAATAGATGTAACAGATAAGATTTATGATTTTTCCTGCCCTTTCACTACACAATAACAGGGTATTACAATGATAAACAAACCCAGTCACAACCATGAATATCTATAGCGAAAAAGAAGAAAAAAAAAAATCTTCCAAACAAAATATCCAGTGTATTAGCTTTTAAGTTTCACTAAATTCTAAGAGAGGTGTTAGCAAACTTTTTCTAAAAGGGCCAGTAGCAATTTATTTGGGTTTTATTGTCCACAGAATCTCTACTATAACTATCAACTCTACTGCTTGTGAAAGCAGATACTGTCATAGACAGTAAACAAAAGTGTCAATGTTCCAATAATAATGGAATACTATCAATTGGGATGATGCCTTTTTTAAATATGTGTGAAAACATTATAAACCTTTAACTAGGATAAAAAACTGAAGAGTCATTATTCTATTTGGCATCTGGGTATCTAGGTCCAAAACATATCTCTGGGAGTTCAAGTGGCGCATACAATAAGAAACAAGTAACATTACTTGCTATTTCTAAGAGTAAACTGTATATCAAGATGCTACACATAAGAAACAGCTTTTCAGATCTATGCCTCTCTAGAATTATTCTAGGAATAACAATTTAGCAATTTTGCTACAACACAAAGAGTTACTATGTACTGAATTGGGAACATTTAACTGTTGAATCTACCATACAATATCTGAAACAAACATGCTTGTGCCTATTTATCTAAACACAAAGAAACAAAACCCTAACATTATTTACAAGAAAACTTCAAGTTAATTACCAAATATAGGAATAAAAGTTTTATAAAGTATTGAAAAGAATGCATGTCACATTTGACGTACTCCTCAAAAGTGTTCACTCTCCCACGATTAGAGTCAGAATGCTCCATTCTTCTTGTGGCTAATGAAGCTGGAAATGGAGCCCAGGACACCCAGGCAGGATAAGCACATGCTCCAACAAACATCACTCAAGAAAGATATCCACTCTACTTTGAGGTATAGTAAATGAAAATCTATGGGAAATGGTAAAATGAACTTACCTGTAAATAGGCATTTAAATCCTTTTTCCTCTTTTCTAAAAAATCTCTATCCATATTGTTAAAAGTCTTTTTACCAGGAAGCTTCAATATGTTTGACAGATTTTCAAACTATAAGACAAAATACATTCAACAGTTCTCTTTTTAGGACAAAGAATTTTCCATGTGATAAATCTTCTACTGGTCAAAAGTATCTTCAGATAATTTGGGGCAATATTTTCTTATATTAAAAAATAGAAAAGAATTGTATAAAACCCCCAAAATACAGTTATCCTACTCCATCATCCTTTCATTGCAAAGAATTGTCAATCAAGAATGATGCAAATACAGTATTCATATGATTTTTTTACAAATAAAATTTTTAATTAAAGGAAAAAAAAAAAAAAGCTAACTAAGCATAAGCCTGCAAAGCAAGCAAACATGCAGCATGCTTTCATGGTTCCTGTGCAAGTGCCTGCCCTCATTTCCCTCAATGATGGACTGTGACCTGTAAGATGAAATAAAACCTTTTCCCCTCTAAGATGCTTTTAGTCAAGGTATTTGTCACAGCAACGGAATGAAACACTTGTCTATTCTGTCTATTCTCCATTGTTCCCCTCAAGTTCTCCAGGGCAGACATCTGCTATTTTCTCTCTGCAAACCCTCCCACCCCGGCCCCAAGTATATGCTGGTGACCTCCCAGTACATCCACTAAGGAAGAATGCAGCATGATGGAGTGCAAGGTGGTCACATCTGCCAGCTTCCCCCTCCCCAGAGGGTGACCAAGAGAGGGTAGTATCATAGCTTAGCTCCAATGTCACCTCAACAGGATTTAGAATTACCTGGGACACATACTTTGAGGTACTGTTTCTGAGGACATTCCCAGAGAATTTTAATTAAGAAAGGAAGATCCACTCTGAAAGTGGGCAGCAGCATCCCATGAGCTAAGGTCCCAGACAGAATATAAAGGAGAAAGTGAGCTGCGCAGCAACATTCATCTCCTTCTGCTTCTGAATGTGGGTGCAATGGGACTAGTGGCCTCATGTTCCTTCTGACATGACAGACTATATTCTTTAAAAATAGGTCCAAAGTGGTAACTGATGAAGAGGGGCATGAGCCAGATGGAATTTCTTTTTAGTATTATAATTTTGAGGTTGTTCAAAATTTTCATAGTAAAGGGTTTTCAGTAATACTTTACAACAATTTGACTTGTGAATCAAGTATTAACAAATTAAAATTTTTATCACAGTTATGATAGTCTTGCTTGTTAACAGACTATTAATATTAATAACTATAAACTAATCACTGTAACACATACCTATAAAAATCAGAAAATGCAAATTCCTAAGTATAGATAGTGATTATATTACAACTCTATATAGAACTATAATAAGCATTAGCAACCTCTTCCCTATATCCCATGATAAATAAATTCATGGATTACTCTACGAATAAGAGTCATATTGTTTTATTTCTTTGTAAAATAACAAATAGAAAACAATGTATGTCTAACATTTATAGATTTAACATTTAGGTATATCTTCAAGGGTCCACGAGAGTAATCTACTACATCTTGCCAAAACAAGGGTTTTCAACTACACTAGTTCTAAAATAAAAAGGCAGGGACAATTTACATAGAAAGTGTTGTAGTGATAACTTACAAATTTGGTGATACATAGAATAGAAATGAATATTTGTGAAATGGAGAGTATTTGTTTTAATAATTAAACACACACACACACACACACACACACACACGCACACACACACAAACACTAGGGAATGGAGAGATGGCTCAGAGGTTAAGGGCACTGGCTGTTCTTGCAGAAGACCTGAGTTCAATACCCAGCACCCACATGGCAGTTAACTCCATGGGGAATTCAATGCTCTCTTCTGACCTCTGCAGGTATTGTATCACACGGGTACACTTATATACATGCAGGCAATATACTCATACACATAAAAACACACATCATACTTGTGCAAGTCAATGTACTTCCTAAACTGTTTTGAAGGTATATAATATATAGTTTCCTAAAATATTATTTATGTGTGATACTAAATGACCAAGTCAGTTTAGTGTGCCTAGTATATTCTGCCTTATCAAAAACTAGGGGCCTGAACTGCATTTCCCCAAATTCACATGTTGAAGTTCTAACCTCTAGTATCTCATACTATAGCTACATATTAAGAAATGGGACCCTTTAAAAGATAAGCTATGCCAAGGCTTTGGGGGGACGCTGTAAGTCAACCTGCCATTTGGTGTCCTTATAAGAAGATAATCTGATAAAGGCATAGGGGATACACACAAACACAGGGAAAAGGTCATGTGAGGACTCAGCAAAAAGACGCTCATATACAAGCCAGAGAGAAAGAGGCCTCAGGAGAAAACAAACCTACCGATACTGGATCTTGAACTTCTAGCTTTCAGAACTATAAGAAATAAAGTTCTATTGTGTAACTTACCAGTCCTGAGGTATTTTATTATGCCAGCCCTGGTAAACTAAAATGCCAAGAAATTATGGCAGCATCCACTAAAATAGGAATTTCTTCCATAAACTTTAAATATTAAGAAGAAACTAAACATTACAAAACCAAAAGTCTAGATTAGAAAAACAAGATACTTTTAACGTTATTTGGGACAGAATCATAAATCAATTTTCTAAATTACTGTCATGATTAAATGGAATAAATTTTATATAACTCATCAGAACAATACAGAAATATTTTAAAGTGAAAAAATTGGAAATTTACCAAAAATAATTCATACATATTAAAAGCAGCATGTCTGTTAAAAAGAACTCACATACAAAATATAAATCATACCATTCTAAGCACAAACACTTTACCTGTCTGCATTACCTATATCAGGATTAGCCTTTTTTGTTTTGTTTTTTTGAGACAGGGTTTCACTATGCAAATCTAGCTGGCTTAGGACTTGCTATGTAGATGAGACTGACCTCAAACTCAAAGGCACAAAGGCATGTGCCACTACATCTGACCCAGGTTTAAATTCTTAAGAAACATTAAAAGTTTGAAAAAGCAAGACTGAAATTGTATACTAAGAAAAATTAAAACATACGTACTTTTATTCAGCTGCATAATGAATATTTAATACTATTAACAAGACTATGCTTATCTCTACTCTTGTTGGGTTCATCCTAGAATACAGACAACCCTGGAGACACACTGTATCCACAGGAATGTATTTTCCTAGAGGCAAGAACCTGTCTGTCTGGTTGCTATTTTCCAGGCACTGTGGAGAGTCAGGCACATAGGAAACACTTCATAAATGTTTTCTGAATAAATGAATAGGTGGTTCAGGCCATTTCTAAAAACATTTAACATTTAAATTTTTAATTCTATCAATCTCCATAAACATAATACTACTGAAGTCTTTAAAGAAAATAAAAGATGGTTCATTTACTTACACTGGGAGGAAAAAAATGTACCTAATTAAATCAAACAAAGTAAAACCAACTTTAGAAATCATTTTACTTTAAGCACTCTATGGGGTTAACATTATTTGCATAAGTAGGAATAAAATGATCAGTTTTTGTGGACAGAATTTGTATACAGAGAGTGTCCTATTTAACTAAAGTCTTTTTAATTTATATTAAGTCAAACTAACCTTGGCAATTAATAATTTTTATTTAGTTCAAGTGCTTGGAAGGAAGAAAGATATATGAGCTGTATGCTTCTAAGACAATTATTCAATAGGTAAAAGGTAAAGCAGTTATTTCTCCAATACGAGCTAGAAATTTTCACCTCAAACAAATCAAGCTAAACATGGAGATTTATTTAAAACAAGTTAAGATGAATAGACATGTCCAAAGCCTATTCAGTTATATTGCTAAAATTAGTTCTATCAATAAAGTTGAGAAGTTCATCAAAACCTATTTTTAATCATTTTAAAGCTAGTAATAGTTTATCTTAGTCTCTCTGCAAAATATTATGAGATTATCATGACACCAACCATATTTTTCCCATATATTATCTGAAAAGGCTATTTTCTGATTTCTAAAGCAGTATAATGCTATTTGAAATCCAATTGGGCATTATCTTTAATTATTTTATTATCTTAATACTATTTATATACTTAAAATGTTTGAATCATTCAAAGACTTCAAAGAGTTAAAATAAGCTTCACGATAATGTATTCCATTTCATCTGGGATTGTTTTTTCTAAGTTAAGGAGAAGAAAAACAGCTAATCACAAATAGGAAAGTAAAACTTTTTTCAGTTAACTGTAAAAGTCCTCATAGTTACTTCTACAAAACAAAAGGACTACATTTAATAAGAATTTAAAACAGTATTTTGGCTAATGTTAGGTTTATTTTAGGCCATGGTTCAAAATAACTTAAGTGAAGCATCCAGGATTAAATTGTTGCACTGCTGGATGGAACTACCATTCAAAATAACTACTGCTCTAAATTATGCCAACAAAATCATGTGTTCAAGTGAGTTACAGTAATCTTCATACCTAAACCAACGCCTCTGCAAAGCACAAGATTCTTTCTCTTTCTCTTAAAACAGAAACACAGTTCATCTTCATTTTTCTAAGGTACACCACTGGTGCTCCGTTGTTACTCCACAACAGTTAGAGTGGTTAAAGTTTTTCATATTCCCTCAAAATCATCCTAATAATTATGCTGATTACATAAATTACTACCTTACTTTCTCTCATTAGCTTTATCAATATCTGAACATCCTTCAAGACACAGAGTCAAAACTGAACAAAAAAACCAATGTAAAATACACAGGCTTTACAAAGCTCATTACCTGTTCTGTGATTCTCATGTGGAAGTCATGGAAGTCACTGTAGCGACGGTAGGTTTTCCACATCTCCTCAGTGTTTAGGTTGCGCCGGTGCACAGTGATGGCATATAACGCGTATGTCTTGCCATGATCATTACAAACGCCTGCCACAGCATATGGGTCATAGTCAGCATATACTAGTCATTTAAAACAAAATGAGGAACAAAAGACACAAAAAGGAGGAAGATGAAGAACAAAAACACACAAACAAAGACAACATGAAATGAAGAATTTGAAATGACAGACGGAGACAAAAGAATGGCAGCAAAGGATAAAAGAGATTCCTATTCTCTGTGCTCTCTCAAGTAAGGTAGTACAAATGACGAGCATAACACAAAACAAGCTAAGTCTGATGACAGTACGAGCCATCAACTGATGTCTACTTTAGAGTCTCTTCACAAGAGCATTTCCTTATTATTAAGGATGTTATCACAGAGCCGCTCAGAGGAAGGTAGTACGATCTTTTAAACTTAATACAGAAGGAACCCAGGACACAAAATTGTAAGCTTTTTACTAGCCTTCACTATTCAGTTGAACTTTAACTAAAATCTGTTCAATTAAACAGTAAAAGCCACAGGATGAGAAGCATCCCCTGGCAATTCTCTACTTTGATAGCATTCAACAATTCACAAGTGTACTTTATTCTGGGGATTCAGCAGCAGCAACAACAACCTCTCATTTTCTTATTTATTTTCCACATACCAGGGAGCCTTTAAAACCAAAACCTGTTTCTATTTTGTATTAATCTTAGAGAAAGAGAAGAACTTTGAATCATGTTTTTGACTTTCTAAGCTTGCCATTCTCTGTGTTTTAAATCACTCTGGGTCTCCAAAAAGTCACCGCTTTCCTCTAATCTGTATCTACTTTATGTGTGAGTATGTACGTGTGAAGGTGTGCAGGCACATGTTGAGTGTGTGCCTGCAGAGGCTGTACGTCAACAGCAGGTAGCTTTCTTAGTTGTGTTCCACCTTATTATTTCAAGACAGGGTCTCTCACTGAAGCTGGTGCCCAATGAATCAACTAGACCCGTTGGTCAGCAGGTTCAGGGATCCTCTTGTCTCTGCATGCCCAGGGATATTGTAGGGGTGTGCTAAGGTGTTTGGCTTTTGCATGGGTACTGAGGATCTGAATTCAAGTCCTCAGGTTTTTGTGACAAGTACTTTACCATCTGAGCTATCTCACCAGTCCCTCTTATCAAGTACTTAATCCAATCATCTTAATTTCAACTACTGTACTTTTTATTTATAAAACTGTACTTTTTAATGCTGTTTACTCATGCCTTAGGATTTATTTTTCTGAATACCATTCAACATATTTAAGTACTGACTGATTGGCGCCTCTCAATTCTTAAGGACACAACTTATCTCATTTGCTGAGTCTACTAACTTTCCCTTCTTGTGGCTCATATTTCTTCCTATGGCTTTTGCTTTTTGAAACTAATTTTCAACTCTAGGCATTCTGGGTTCTCAGAGCTATGAAGGCATGTATGATGATTACTGTTCCCATTGTCCTTGCTGGGTTTGGAAATTCAGAAGCTATTTTTATAAGCTGACCCTCTGTATCCCCAAATTCAAACTGTCCATTGAAAAATTTTTAAATGTTTGCACTGAGTATGCATAAACTTTTTTTAAAAATCATTATTCTCTAGCCAATATAGTTCACCAACTGTTTAAATAGCATTTCTATACACTGGGTTATACAAGCAATCTAGAGAAGATTCAAAATATATCAAAGGATGTACACAGGCCACATCAAATACTCTTATCATTTTATATGAGACCTGTGCATCTGTGGATTTTGTTATCTGAAGAGGTTTTGGAATCAATAGCCTGTGAATAATGAAGGACAAATATACTAAACTCTCTATAGCTTGAGACACAAGGATAGGTATACAGGAACTAGAGGACAGTACAATCCAGACATACCCGTGCTGGGATACAAAGAGAGGCTTCACTTTCCTGGGGGTAATAGAAACCACTCCTGACCATGATCTTCACATTTCTCACTTTTTCCACTTGCATATAAACTAGGATTTTCTATTTCTTTTTCCACATCAAGCTGCTCTTTGGGTCACTGAGTTATATGGTTCTGCTTTTCTAAGCTCGTGGGCATGAAAATGGTATCAGAACCAAGACAGTAGTCTTCACGTTACCCAGCGACCCTGAAGCTTCACTGTTTCTTCACTTCTAGAACATGCTTTTTCTTTTGACTTATGGCACCTGTAACACCCTACTTCAGTTTACAATAGTGCCATATGTGGGAGGCATACCAATAATATGACAATTTGACTATTATATTTGCCAAAAGTCTAAGACTGATATGATTGCAATGATCCATGATTGTGGAGGGAAAAAGTAGAGAGGTTTTGGAGCTGACTAAATGTTTTGCTGTCTTAAAAGACAAAACTCATCGGGCAAATAAGTTCCTATATACCTTCTTGGTAAATTATTTTAATGACATAAAAGCTAGATTAATACCTGTACTGGCAAGTATAAGTGATCAGAATATAATTCTAACTTTTATAGAAGTTTGCTAAGATTTATGCTTTCCTTCCCTTTCATACATTATCAGTATTTTTGATTTGGTTGAGGATGCTGATGACATGATATCATTATATTAGTAACAGAAAAACTCTGGTTGGCTAGGCATAGTGGCATACACTTTTAATCCTAGCACTTGGGAGGCAGAGGCAGGCAGATCTCTACGAGTTCCAGGCCAGCTGAGGCTATAGGGAGACCTTGTCTCAAAAAAGGCAAAAAAAGACAAAAAAAAGAAAAAAAGAAAAAAGAAAAAGACTCTGGTCATGATGTTCTTTATACAAGTCTTACCTCCATTCACTGTTCACCTCTTACTTTCTCCTAGATCCTAGGCTGATCAAATACTACACTTTTCCATCAAGTTAAGAATTGTGTTTTCTAAACACTGCTGGCATAGCAACAAGGGAATGGATTTATCAGCCATGTTCAAGGGATGTATGAAAAAGAAAAAGAGAATGTAGCAGCCAATTAGGCCATTAACCATAACCAATTACAAGGTAAGAGCAAGGAGAATAGCAAGGAATAGAAAAAGAAGACAGAGAATAACGTATGAAAGCACTTTAAAAAAGAATAATCAAGATTTGTCATAAATTGTTAGATAAGGAGACCACCCAAGTACACGTACAACAGAAAGAATAATGAGGTTAATATTTTTTAAATGCAGAAAACAGATCATTTAATTATAAAGAAAGATGACGGATCTACCAAACACTGACTCTGAGAAGACACTGACATAGAACTAGAATATTTTGTTTTCATCAGGCCAATGTAACTCATGGAAGGCAGTTTATAAACCATTCATTATTACATCACAATTACAGAAGCAATGCCAGAATTTAAATCAACCTCATCACAGTAATCACACTAGGTTAGAATTTTTTTTTTTATTTTGCTGATAAAATGTTCCTTATTTAGACAATATGTTTAAAAAATTTTTTATTATTTTTATTTTATGTGTATGAGTGCATTGCCTGCATGTGTTTAAGTGCACCCATATCATGCAATACCCTCAGAGGTCAAAAGAAGGCATCAGACTCCCCTGGAGTTACGGAGAGTTGTTAGCCACTATACAGATGCTGGGAATTGAACTCAGGGCCTCTGCAAGAATAGCCAATCTCTCCAGCCCAACTGAAATCTTCAATTCATCTGAATTGAAAAATCTGTCAGATTTTTTTTTTTTTTTTTTTGGACAGGGGCTCCCTTTAACCCCCGCTAACCCGGAACTGAGAGATTCACTTGCCTTTGCCTCCTAAATGCTGGAACTAAAGACAAGTGCCACCACGCCTGGCTATTCTTTTTTTTTTTTTTGAGACAGGGTCTCCCTATAGCCCCAGCTAGCCTGGAACTGAGAGATCCACTTGCCTTTGCCTCCTAAATGCTGGAACTAAAGACAAGTGCCACCACGCCTGGCTATTCTTTAAAGTAAGATCTCTTAGTGAACAAAACAGTAGACATCAGACTTCATGGAGCAGTCATGGAGTAGCACTGCATTGACTACAATCCTTACTTTCAATAACAGAAATGTCAAGGACACGGGAACAAAAATCAAGTACCCAGCTGCAAAAGTAAATATTTATTGACTAAAAACTCACATGTAGCCTGTCATGTACAGATAATTACCAATGTAATTAATTAGGTCAATAACTATTCCATGAGACAGGCATTATTATTATTTTTCCATTTAATAGATGAAGAAATTTCAGTAAAGAGTCATAGTGGGAGTTTCCACAACTGTTAACTGCAGAGTTAGGTTGAATCTGGGCAATTTGGTCAAAAAGTATTTTCTTAACCTACTATATGATGCTGCCTCCCCAGTATCTCTGTATATTTTTCTCTGAGAAAAATAGCAATTTATTAAAAAATGATTTGCTTTACACTTTCATCTACTTAATGAATAAACAAATGGATAAAGCAACTAGAAAATCAGAAGAGCCTAAAAAAAAATATTAACACCAGAAGCATGGACATGAGTATCCCCCTCTAGACTCAAAGTTTAAGATCTCTAACATAATAGGACAGTAATAATATATACTCACTACATATAAAATGTGAAGAAAAAAATTGACAGATAACTTATTCCAGAAATCTGGCAGAAAAGATGATACTAAATGAGTATCTAGCTCTACTGAGAAGCACAGGAGAACAAAGATTTTTCAAAAAATGAAAATCATTATTTTTAAGCTAGACTTAGATAATAAAAACTTTTTGATATGTAAAATGTAAATATGAAATTGGATCGAGATATAGCTGTCTGCATACTTCAATATAAAAATATAACAAATATACTCCTGTACTCCAGGAACAGTGAGAGATTATCGGTAAGAGAACTATCACTTTCTCATACTAATTAGCATTATTTCATAATTTCATGGTAATGATGGCAACCATTTCTTTGGGTATATCAATAATTCCTAACTGACCACAAAGTCCTATGTTTCTCACCCCACTCAAGATCTCCTTTAGTTATGCAAACACATTTATGCAGAACCTTCATTACTCCACTTTCATATTCCGATTCTGAATGTGTGAATGCCAACCATGATCAGAGATCACCACGAAAAAGAAATGAGAATTATGAAAACAATCACCAGCTAAATTCAGTACAAAGTGGAAAAGTCAAATTTAGAATTTACTAGAAATGATAAAAATGCTTAGAAAATAAGCATTTTCAAATGTTAATAGTGGCAACCTTAGAAAAGAAAAAAGTCAAATATAAAATCAAATGTCAAAGAACTCAATGAAAAACATGTTTCAAGGAAAAACAACAACAAAACAAAACCTTCAAAAGCTTCTTTAAAATGAATATAAGACAAAATATAAAAATATATGTGAAAAACAGCAGGGATATTATAATCATTCACAGTTTTTAAGTAGTAATTATGCTACAAAGTCTCTCACCAGTGTCTGAAATGTAGGCATGAAGTTGTATGGAATCATCAGAAGAGACATTTGATAGGTCATCTAAAGACTGGGAAAAAGTAGGAAACAAAATTTAAATATTACAGGAATGACTTTAGGAATTCTATATTCAAATATTCATTATTCAAATCTCCTCATGTATTATTACCTTCCACTTCACCTTATACAATGATGCTCATCATGACTGAGAGAAAAGCAGGGATAAAGAAACTGTAGCTGGATACAGCGGCATATCCCAGTACTCCTACCCGGGAGGCTGAGGAATTTGAGGAAATCTTGAATTTGAGGCCAGACTGGGATATACAGCAAGACCCTATCTCTAAACTTAAAACAATCAAACAACAAAACCAAAAGAAACTCTAAAAGGAAACAATTTAGCAATCAACTTAATATATCACAATAGTTACTTCATTTCTTACCCACCTACTGTAACTTATCAATTATATCCAATCTATAGCAAGAACATAAAAACTAGGGAAAATAAGTAGATGCTCTTAACATTAAAATTTTTAAATGTTAAAATATACTACAGGTGCTTTATATTCTCTAATACTTTTGTTAACTGAGAAATAATCAGTTAATTAAGTAACACAAAATGAGAGTAATAACACCTACATCATAGGGCTATGTGAAGATTAAATGAGAGCATATGTAAAGTATTTTAAAAATAGCCTATTATAGTAAACATTAGCTATCATGACTGCCTATTAAATGAAGTCAATTCAAAGACTAAGAATTTTGTTTATGGAATATATAATTTTTAAAAATACAAAAAACTACTGATTGATCCAAAAATGAAACTATGGTCTTTTGAGTTTAATTCTTAAAACATTTGGCCACATATAAGTACACCCACACATACACAGACGGGAACACAAGCAGATGGTAAAACCAGACAGGGTAGAAGATAACATTATGCAGCCTAAAACTGCTCTTAGAGGACACTGCTTGCAATGTTCTCCCTTGAATTGCATCTTGGACCTCAGATTTCGGGATGGTTCCCACACTCTCTAACAAATATGAATGGCTTACTGTGTCTAAAACCACCTGGACAAACAATGTAGTTTATGATTTAAATTTGTTTTCCTAATGGACCTAGAATTTGGTATGCAGTAGACACAATATGTACTGTGTCAAGTACCACCAAAATGACACTATGCGTTCAGTCTCAAAACTCATGGCTTGGGGGAATTAAGCACATTCCGTGAAACACTGTTGAAAAAAGACTTCTGGAAGATTGTGCCTAGTTTCCTTCACTTTGTCTCAAGTAATGTTTTCTCTTTGCTAATTTTGCTTTATATCCTTTCACTATAATAAATCCTATGCATGAATTTGACTGTACCAAGTCTTGTGAATCTTCTTAGCAAATAACCAAGATAGCAAGTGATTTTTGGGAACCCAAACCCTCACCATAGAGATATAATTTGGGCATACATATATCACATGATTTTGGTTTCAGAGCCCTTATTAAACATGACAAATTATTAAGAGTAATGTAAATGACTTGCGAGTAATAATGTTTGCCATAAAGTCATTCAATCTAAAGTAAATGAATTCTACAGAGAGTGTCAACATAATGTATCTATGAACAACTGATGGTTAAGAGAAACAAAGCATAATGTTGAAGATGATCTGCAGAACTTTACTGGTTGATTCATGTAGTAAAAGCAAATCAATCCCAGTCCAGGTTCCATCAGTGATTCTTTATTTCATGTGTAGAGTGTGTGCATGTATGTAAGCTTATCACCTGCATGCAATGTCTGTGGAAGTCAGAAGAGAGAGCCAGATCCCTTGTAACTGGAGTTATGGATGGCTGCCAGCTGCCATGTGAGTGCTGGGACCCAAAGCTGGATCTTTTATAAGAGCAGTCAGTGCTCTTAACTGCTAAGCCATCTCTCTAGTCCCTCTTTCTTATATTTTGGTTTTCACAACTCTGAAATGGTATTAAAACTAGCTCTAAATCTTTGCTAGAATACAATATAAATGATAGTATTTGAAAGAGAAATAAATTGGAGTTCTTTTTAAGTGTTGACTTTTCTTAATAGACACAGCACAGCTTTTATTTTATAAGGCCAGTATCTACCTATAATTTATATACTATATTGTTTCAGTTATAAGGCAGCACAAGGAATATGAAACAACTTATTTAAAAGTAAAGCATATTAATGATAACCTATCCTTGTATTACATATGATGAAAAATTTGATGAAAAGTCTCCTAAATACTAGTTGCAATTATTATGTACAAGTAAATAAGTAGGTTGTAAAATTCCAAATGATAAAACAGTATTAACTACAAAAATAAATATGATTTGGATAAAATATTGATTGGCAAAAAGAAAATTATAGTTTTTAAAATAAGTGCTTTAATATTATCTTAAAATAACCAGTTTACAAAGTAAGCCTTGAGCTAACATTCCTCAACTTCCTACAAGAAAAATTTTAGCAAATTGTATCAAGGTGAAAATCAAACACAGAAATTTCTTTCTTCCCTGTTGGTTCCGACAACATTTTGCTATGTTGTCCAGGCTGGCACAGAACTTGGGCTCAAATGTTCATCCTGACACAGGCTCCAGAATAACTGGTTCTATAGATACAAGCCACTCTGCCTACCTAAAAATACAAATTTTCTACTACTTAAGGCATTCTAGATATGATAGGGAAGCAACACCAATGAAATCTCCAGAGTATGGTAGTCTAACAATAACTGCACATAATTACAAAACCAGTTGACATGCCAAGGTGGATTTGGGGGAGGGGGGAATTTCATGGGTCCCATCTCAAAATGATGCGCTACAAGCAATCAATAGATGCTGAGGGAGGGAGGGAAAATGAGTTTTCAGGGCTGGCTCCCTGAGGGGTTATCTAATTCCAAGTGGGCAGCCCTAAACACAGGTACACAGAAGCACAACTGAATGGACTCAGTGTAATAAATATACATATATATGCATATGTAACATAATAATCAAGGAAGGGGACAGAAAATTGTGTGTGTGTGTGTGTGTGTGTGTGTGTGAGAGAGAGAGAGAGAGAGAGAGAGAGAGAGAGAGAGAGGAAGGAATTGGAGGGAGATGGAGTGATGGAAATGATGCAAAGACTATCATCATGTATAATATTCACAAAAATTAAAAATGAAAAGATTAGAAAATTAGGTGATAATAAAAATAATTATGTATATTTTTAAAAAATCCCACAAATTTTCTATGCTGGTTCAGAAAACACAATTATAATGGCATTGCTAGAAATGACAGAACTAATTTACTTGCCAATCTCAACTGCATTAAAGTGTAAAACACCTAACATATTAAGATCTTTGGTACTGAGTATATTGCAATAAACAATTAAGATTTAGTTTATAATCTTATCTTTAACATAGAGCTAGGTGCTAAATTTTTTTATGCACATTTTAAGAAGAATCCAAGTGACTCCAATTACATAAAAAGTAAATTTAAAAGATTTATGAGAAAAATAAAATACTGCCAATCACTGGCTTCAAAAGGAACTTTTTCATCGAGAGATTTTTGCATTGTTACTACACAACAAAAAGGATCTCTCTTACTTTAAAATATATTTACTTCAGACTTGGAACAAAAATCATCTTACTAGTGTTTAAATATTTGTATAAAGACATAGACTAGAAATTTTCAAACCAAAGTAGTTTCCAAGATTTACAAGCTTTATATGATAAAGTTATTGATAACCCTTCATGCTCTAAAAGCGATTCATTTTCCTTCTGACACTTAGGACTGTAACAAGTAACTGACCAATAATTTAGGAAAGCATTTAAATGTATCTGGTACAGCCTATAGCTGATTTTACTTTAGTGTTTTATAGAAGCTATACTCTCCCCCACCCTCTATATATAAAAATCCATTGACTCAATAAGATAACTTTTGAAATAAGTAGTATAGTTAATACAAGACAAGAAACCTATAAACTTATTAGAAAAGATACAGAAAGGGAAGTGGAAGGAAAAGCAATCCTTCACCTTTCTCCTCCTCCATGTGCCCAGTCCAACTATGAGCTGAATACTTCACAGAACATTAGTGTTACTTCCTAACAATATTTTAGCACGTAAGATAGCCAATAAGTTCATTATTTAACAGATTACCAAAAAATGTTAGTGGGAGCTTATATATGAAAAACCTATCATTTTGACTCTAAATAATAAGATACTATTGCTATAAAATATTGAGTAAAACATTTTTGAAATAATCTGAATTGTTTTGCTGCAGACTTTATACATGCAGAAAGTTATTCCCACTGATTTTACATTTTCTTTCTAGGTGGGAGAAGACTGATTTTAATAAATAGGATATCTAAAAGTAATAAAACCAATTTCTTTTTCTTTATTTGTGGGATTTATTTATTTATTTATTTATTTATTTATTTATTATTTGAGACAAGGTCTCATTAGGTCCTCTTGGATGGTCTAGAACTCATTATATAGACCAGACTCAGACTGACAGAGATAGCCCTCCTCTGCCTCAGGAGTGCTGGGATTAAGAAATCAATTCCTTTATAAAATGCAACCGCAATTATGTAAGTGCAGTCTAATACCATTTCTTAAAAATTTCTAATTCACAGATGCTTTATTAACTTACCACTTCTTTAAAAACAACAATATTTTATAATAGTAAAGGACAAAATGAAGCTTCTAAAATACCATTTATTTACATATATCAAGTCTTGGCCTTTCACATTATTTTTAAGTTACTTTAGTATTTAAGTATCTACAGTAGTACTTACCAAATTTATACTTCCCGTAGGAGAACCATTAAAAGATTCTGTGAAAGGAAAATTCACCTTAGTATACAGTAAAAAACGTAGGAAGTTTTTGCTTTACCTAACATTCAAACATAAAGAATGTAAGTCATCCAAACCAAGGCAGAACAGATCAGCAAAGTACAACTGTGTTACCTTTCCAAATACATAACCTCAAGGTAATTAGGCAATTTCAATGGAAATACACATATACTTGACAGCTACAAACAAACTAGGAGTCATGTATTTAAGAACAGTTAGTAAATATTTTAATTCTATTCTCATGTAGTTGTTTGATACAATGCAAAGACAAGTAAAAAAAAAAAAACCTGCAGCGTGAAGCCTAGTAGGTAATATCAGCACTGTTTTGTTACTTCTGTCTCAGTGAATTTAGAGGTAATACAAATATTAGTCTACAGTGTGAGACACACTGATTTTTAACATACCTAATAGTCCACTTATTTTGGTAGTAGAGTTGGCACAAAACACAAATCATCCATATACAAGGCCATGTAATTAAACAGCAATGAGGAGAAAAATAATTTTTTTAATTAAAATTAAAGGGCTGGAGAGATGGCTCAGCAGTTAAGAGCAATGCTTGTTCTTGCAGAAGACCCAGGTTCAAATTTCAGCTTATGGCAGCTAACAACCATCTGTAACTCTAGTTCCAGGGCATCTGACATCTTTGGACCTCTGCGGGCATTGCACCACATGGGTGCACTTACATACACACAGGCATGACACACACACAAAACAAATAAAACGTTTAAAATTTTTTTTTAAATTTAGGCATATAGTTGAATTAATACAATTATATGATATTGTACTCTGTCTAAACCCTACAAGACATAAAATTAAATGAGGTTTTAAACTTTAAAAAAGCTCCCCATTTCATTATTAAATTACAGTTTCATACAGAAAAATTCATTTTTAATACAACTGACACTAAGATGCACGTGCGTTTCTAATCTCTATATATCTGATTATTACCAGTATTAAAATTAAAATAATATTAGGAACCACATGTGGTATCACATGCCTATAATGCCAGCACTTGAGAGGCAGAGGCAGGCAAATCACTGTGAGACTGAGTCCAGCCTGGGATGGTCTACATAGCATAAATTCTAGGCCAGCTGTGGTTACAGAATGAGACCCTGCCTTTAAACAAACAAAATAAAAATAATGTCAGGAACGTATAGAGCTGGACTTGGTGGTAGATGCTTATAACTCTTGCTCTCAGGAAGTGGGGGTGAGTGACAAAGAAGGTCAGGGGTTCAAGGGCTGGCCTCAACTACATGAGTTTGAAGCCAGCCTGGGCTACATACGACACTATTAAAAAACAAGAGACAGGGAACAAGGTGGCATGGGGGGTGTGCACACACACTGTACACAAACTAACAGATACAGGAAAGAACTTTCTGAACAGGACTCTTATACCTCAGTCATTAAGTCCAACAAATGACAAATGGGGCCTCATGAAACTAAAAGCATCTGTACAGCAATGGAAACATTCATTCAGATGAAGGGTGAGAGAAAATCTTCTCCAGCTATACATTTGATAGGGAACTAATATCTAGAATATACAAAGAACTCATAAAACAAACACTCAAGAAAATGAATGACCCAATTAAAAAATGGGCTATGGATCCGAACAGAGAGTTTACAAGAGAAGATATAAAATGACAAAGAAATACCGTTAAAAGTATTCAACATCCTTAAAAATTAGAGAAATGCATATCAGAACGAGCTTAAGATTTTGTCTTCCCTCAGCCAGAATGGCTAAGATCAAGAAAACAAATGACACCAGTGCTAGCGAGAATGTGGGCAAGAGGGAACTGTCATTCACTGCTACTGGGATTACAAACTGGTCCAATCACTGTGGAAATCAGTGTGGAGAGCTTTTAAAAACCTAAGAATAAATCAAACCTGTGATGCAGTTATACCATTCCTGGGAACTTACCCAATGGACCCAACATGCCACTGCAGAGATACCAGCAGCCATGTTTGTTGCTGCTCTTTTCACAATAGGGAGGAAATGGAAACAACCTAAATGTTCCTCAGTTGAAGAATGGATAATAAAATGTGATACATATACAAAATAGAGTTCTACTCAGTGGTGAAGACAAATGAAATCATGAAAAAGTGCAGGTAAATGAATGGAACTAGAAACTCTTAAACTAAGTAAAGTAACACTGACTCAGAAAAACAAGCTACATATGTTCTCTGTCATTTATGTATCTTAGCTTCAAATCCATAGATGGGATTATATATCTTGATGTAACAAGAACAGAAAAATGGAAAGGAACCATGGGCGGTAAAAGGGAAGAAAGAGCTCCTGAGAGGGGCATAATAGGAGAAAGGTGTTATAAAGGGGGAAATCAGGAAAATGAGGGATACTTTAGAAGTGGAGGAAATAGGAAGGATTACATAGAGGAGAGAGGAGAAATATTTAGAAGGTGTGAAAAACCGAAGGGAAATGTACTAGTTTAAAAGCCTACTGAAAAATACAAATTTTTTACATATATATACACACATATATACATATATGCATAATATATATGCATGTGTACAGCTAAAGGCTGTATAACAAAAACAAAGTGCCAGGCGGGGGAAACAGCCCTTCGACTAACAGGTTAGTCAAGGTAGTCCAAGAGACTCCCAAAATAACACAAGTTAGGGCCACAGGACGGGATTGCCTCCCAGAACTTGAAGGTAAGACCCTACTGTTGAAGAGAAGACATACTTTGGACACAGGACTTGGGGCAATGGAACTAGAAACTCCCACAATATCAGAAGATACTATGCAAACTTACAAGGGAGAAAGCCAATCAATGTAAACACTATAAGCCACAACAATCACCGGCCCAGCAAATAAACTTGGGGATAATCAACAACTGTCTAATTGGACTTAAGAGCTACTCAATGGGAACTCATGTGTGGTAATATATATATATATATATATATCCATCCAAATACACATGGCTGGAAAGGTCATAGATCTGAAAGAAAAACTTGTCACACCAGTAGAACAGTATAATTCCTTAGTATATTCTAAATATGCATCCTTATATTTACAAACAAGTATATCTCTGACCACTCATCAAAGAAGTTTCTTGTCACAACAGATGGAGACTATTACAAAGCTCAACAACTAGTCAAATGCAGAAAATAATTGCCTGACATACTGGGCCCTAAGTGATACATCTACAATACAACCCCAACACCTAAGACTCGGAGATCAGAGTGAACACAGAAAGAACATTAATGGTTCTTTTAACTCTCAACAGCAAAGCTTCCTCTCAAAACAGATGGTGATTAACTCAGAAAGCCACAACTGACCAAACCGCAGATAATAAAAGACTGCAGAGAACTTATTCCTGAATAGGACACCTATATCGAACCTCTGTCACCCAAGGCTCAGGGTCCATTGTGGAAGCGGGGGTGGAAAGACTGTAAGAGCCAGAGGTGGTAGAGACAGCTGGGAAGTTATTCCTATGAACTTACAGCAATAGTAACTGCATGCAAAAGAACCTTGCAAGCTAAAGTCAGACAAAAACCTAGCATAGAACTTGAGAAATGGGTAAAAATTCCGAACCTCAGTGAAAGAACTATTGGCTACCAACAACTACTGGGCAACAGAGAGGTGTGACAATAGATAGGCTAATCAGGCTCCAGTGAACAGATGCACACTGAAGAATATTTGGGGACACAAACTTCGCTCAATAGTTCTTAATATATATGACAGAGTACATGAAATCCCTTGGGAGGGAGGAGGCTATTGGAGGGGTGCAGAAAAGGGAGCGGTTTAAACATGATCAAAATATACTGTATGATATTCACAAAATTAAATTTAAAAAAAGTTAAACATAAAAAGAACTAACAATCCAATTTAAAATGGAGAAAGGGGAACTGCTATCCACTGCTAGGGGGAGTGCAAACTAGTGCTCCTACTATGGAAATCAATGTGGAGCTTCTGTAAAAAGCTCCATCTAGCCATATGACTCTTGGGCATATACCCAAAAGACTCTCTACCCTATTACAGAAATGTTCATTGCTGCCCTTTTCATAGTAGTCAGGAACTGGAAACAACCTAGATGTCCATCAACTAATGAATGACTAGTGAAACTGTGGTATATACATACAATGGAAGTTTATTCAGCTATTAAAAAAAACTAAATTATGAAATTCACAGGTAAAAGCTTGGAGAGGAAACAATCATTCTGAGTGAAGTAATCCAGACCCAGAAAGACAAATGTCACATGTTGTCTCATTGCTTGATGATAGTTTTCAAAGGTTTAATTTGAAAATTCAGAGAAGTCAGGAAACTAACAGACAGTCATAGGGGGTGTGGGGGGGAGCTTCCTGGGAGTGAAGGCAGAATGCAGTGATATAAAGAGGGAAATAGGAATAGCAGAGTAGGAAGGTTAAATGCGGTGAGGAATGGGAGGGAGAACAAAAGAGGGCATATGGGGAGGGTATGTAACACTAAAGGCCTTTTGAAAGAATCATATAGAAGCCTACCACTATAGAAGTGTCTTAAAGTATCAACATATACATCATAAAAGAGAGTAAAGGTAGTTACCTTGTAACAGAGGACACTGCCCCTCGAGATACCAGAGGCCAGAAAACTAAAAACCCAATGCCAGGAATGGATTCCCTCTCTAGAAGCCGTTGACCATGGGTTCCACAAATCCTCAAATAATGACCACTACCCCTGCTCTTGGTTACCAACCAGAACTTGATGGTAAAACCCTAATGCTGAAGACACCATATATGTGAGCTATAGAACAAAAAGAAATCAAGCTGGTACTGACTTCAAAGCTTCATCTCTACTAGCCAGCTTTCTTAGTGCTGAAAAGTATTATGTGAGTTACCAGAAGAGATGATTAACCATCAACCTTACCCAGCTATGATTCCAACGAGCTACAACAACCGTCCTGAAAAGATATGCCCACTGATGCAATGGTCGCATGTATATTATAGGAGCAATCAACCACTTTCTAATTGGATTTAAGGTTTATGG